TTCCCCCTCGTGCCACACCAAGGAAGTCTCAAAAGCAAACGTTTCATCTACCACACAGGCAAGAGCTCCAACTCCCCAGGACAGCCTCTCTGCAAGCATCTGCTCCCATCCTGCTTTAGGACACAGGACTAATAAGTGAATTTTGGCCACTGGATCAGGTACAGGGAGCCTGAATAATTCAGCTCAAGTCACAAGAATTTCACACCCTCCCAGTGTTTCAGTCACCCCTTAACCAGGTTTCCACTACAGTACTTGGTCACTTCTCACAGGACCCCTCAGTCACAGACTATTAAATATTTAAGAAAGCATCACACCAAAAATGGGGAAAAAGATCAATTTATACTCCAGTATGAAATGGTCACACCCCCACTGCACTGGCCTGAGCTCCTGATCTTCAAGTTAGAGAAGCTTTTTAATGATCACAACCTATCAGCAAACATAATTTAGGCCAAAGCCCAGCTAGAGAGAGCAGGAAGCCTGGGAAAATCTTGTGTTGGTCAGACATATTAATTACTCCTTCAGGAAAGAAGCCTCTGTGGTGTAAAGAAATTCAAATTTGAAATCTCATGTTTTTAGTGAGGTTTTGTTGCCCTTATTCCTGGAAATGGCAAAAGCTTAGGAAGAACTGAAGCATACACAAGCTTTGAGCCTTTCTCCTTGCATTAAGGAGACACACAAAGATTTATTTGGTTGAGGCTTTTTAAATTCTTCAGGACTCCCAGCATTAATCAGTGGGAAAGCAGGAAATTTTATAATGCACTTTAAAAATCAGTTTATGAATCACTTTATAAAATTATTGACTAAAGCTTATTGGTAAAAACAGAAGATCAGCATCTTTTTTGAGTATCTTCTACTTCTGTAATCATCTCCTTCACCTGGAAAGAAAAGTTATTAAAGCACATTGGATTAAAGTAGGGTAAAACACCAGGGCTGAGCATGGACAGGGCTCTGAGCAGCCTGCTCTAGTGCAGGTGTCCCTGCTCACAGAGGAGGCTGGACTAGATGGCCTTTAAAGGTCCTTCCAACCCAACCTATCCTGGGATTCCACAGCCCTAAACTAGGTACAGGCACCTTTCAGAACCCCACACTTCTCCAGTAAAATTGCTCCCTTCTGCTGGCACTAAAAAAAGTTTTATTTTACCTTGAGGTGGGTCTATCACAGTGTGAACCAGCTCAAAGGGGACAAATTACAGAAAAACACTTCTCTGCAAGTTTACTCTATCCCAGTAAGGAGCTCCTTGGATTTAACCAAATATCCCCACAAAGGGCAGGCACAAAGACAAACACTCGATGGCACTTCCCATCGAGTCTACAGAAGTATCCCAAGTCTAAATTTGAATTTCAAGGCTTTGGGGTGACCTAACTGGGGTCTTCCAGGCCTGAAGGGAGCTGACAGGAAGGATGGTGACAGACCATGGACAAGGGATGGAGGGACAGGACACAGGGAAGGGCTTCCCACTGCCAGAGGGCAGGGCTGGATGGGATATTGGGAATGGATTGTTCATTGTGAGGGTGGGCAGACCCTGGCAAAGGGTGCCCAGAGAAGCTGTGGCTGCCCCTGGACTCCTGGAGGTCCAAGTCCAGGCTGGACAGGGCTTGGAGCAGCCTGGGATAGCGGAAGGTGTCCCTCTGCACATGGCAGGGATGGAATGGGATGAGCTTCAAGGTCCCTTCCAGATCAAACCATTCCTATTCTCTGATGTACCAACAGCAAACTGGACCAGTACAGAGCACTGGGGAGTGCTGGATGATGATGAGCAAACCGAGTTCCCCAACCATCCTTCACCCAGGGAAGTCAAGGGATGGATGCAAAGCAAAGCTGACAGCTGTGCAAGCAGACATTGAGAAGGGCAGTGTGGTTGCTTTCCCAAAGAAAGTAATTTCTCAACTCAACTCCAGTAATAAGGACTAAAAATAGTCCCACAAAAGAGCTGAGCTGCACTTTCATGCTGTTTCACTCCCAGATGTGAACTAGTCTCATATCAGCATATATATTTACCATATGAGGAAATCCTGTTTGAACAACTTCAGCTTGTGAATGTTTTTCCCTCCCTAATAAACCACAAGATTAAGCATCAGTGCAATGGCAGTATTCCCTCTGCCAGTGATATCCTCTGACTTGATTATTTTGGGAATTTGCCGTTTAAGATAACATTTAGCTAAGCTCACACACTTGGCTTGCCTAATAAAACACAGACTCTACAAAACAGCTGAAGTTGGTGTTTCTCAAAAGGCACAAGGTGCAAAGGACTTGCTGTGGGTACTGAAAATGTCCCCACACCTCCACAGCACATTTTGGAGGTCCAAGAGGGATACAGCCAGGTTAGAGATGGGTTCTGATTCCAGACAAACAACTCCTATCCTGAAAATCTTAGTGACCCTGAGCAGCACACGAGGTTTGTGTTGGTGCCACTGTCACATCACACACCCCGGGCTGTGCTTCACTGCTCCATATCTGCCTCACAAATCCTAGATGGATGATGCACATCCAGCACTACTCTAGACAGGCTGAATTTATGGATGATTAAATCATAAATTTTGTTAAAATTGTCCTCCTTTTCCTCAAGAGTTGCATAGCAGAAGAAATCCTTGCTAACATGATCAGGCCAGTTTACATAACCTTGAAATGAAGGGTTTTATTTTTACAAAGAGTAACTGGATTCCATCCATTCATAACCCACAATTCCAGAAATCTCAGCAGATCCACTCTCCCAACTCCTCTTTGCCCTGAAGAGAGCATTCCATTTATTTTTAGCACAGGAGACACCATCCATCCAGGCAGTTTTCAAGCTTCATGTGTTGCCCTGCCCTGTTTCCCTGAGCACCTGACTGAAATGTGGGCACAGCTCCGAGCTCTCCAAGGAGACCGAGGTTCCAGCTCTACTCTACACAGACATTGGTGGCCCTGTGGTACCATGAAGGTGTCTCACCCAATATCCTGCACCACACCAACTGTTCCCTTCAATGAAAGGGTCATTCCACCCTTTCAATGCTCCACTTCTGGTCTCAGACCACTAAAATAAAGATCCTGCAAGAACCCTACATGCTGGGTTTGCACATGAGTTCAAACTGGAGGCTGCAGGTTCATCCCTGAAGTCCAGCACATAGTGTTGGAAGTTCTGATCCAATTTCTCCTACGCCTAGCGGTTTCCACAACTAAACATGAGAAAAACAGAAGGCAGCAAAGCCTGGTAACACTCAGGAAATTTCCAAAGGATTTGTGCTGTATCTCCTCCAAACTACTGGCACAGTTACATTTAAACCCTGACTGGATTTTCCTAACATCACGTTTTTATATCCCATTCAAAGAAATTGGTACCACTGTTGTTACTTTCCATGAAGCCTCCTTGTTTTCTTTGAACTCTTTTCCTGTGACAGTTTTTGCAGTGGCATAAGTTAAGACGGTTTGTTGGGATGCCAATTTGAGATTCTGCAGTCAGGTCTTGCACACACAGAATTCAGAGTGTTACAGTTAGGTACACAGCTGGAATAAGATGCTCCATCCTGCCAGGACTCAGGTACAGCACCTGCTCTTGTGTGAGCCAATAAGGAACAGAACTTTGATCATAACTATTCTTCACCTTTCACCTCACATTAAAGATCTTTATCCTGCATGATACAGGTGGCTCCAGCTTCAGAGAAAAAACATAAGGCATTGCCTCTGAAATGCCTATGGATGACGGCAAGAAGTAAAGGATTACACTTGTGTGGTTAAACAGCCTTTACACTACTGTAAAGTTGTTCTTTTATGAATGAAACACATTCAAACATTGATTAATTGTCATGTTGGAAAGCCTGAATCCCAAATCCCCAACGGCACAGAGTGATGTGATTCCTACAAGTGCCTCCATGGCTGAGGAGGCTCGGGAAGAGCCGCGGGCACAAGGCAGGGAGAGGAGCAGGGCCTGGGCCCGCAGCTGGAGCTGCTCCCTTTGCACAGCACCGAAGTGGCACCGAAAGGGTGAATCCATTCGGGAAACACAGCGGGACGGAGATCATTCCACACGGCTGAGGAAAGCGGGGCTTGTCCGAGGGAAAGGCGAGTTCCCGGGAGTGGGGAGCAGCAGCAGGGCTGCAGCAGCCGCTGCTCGGGCACTCTCCGGTGCCGCCCCGCACCGGGGGACAGCCCGCCTTCCTGCGGGGAGCCACGGCCGCCGGGCCCGCGGGGCAGCACCCCCGGTACCGCTCCCCGCCCAAGCGGAACCGTTCCCTGGGTAATTCCACATCATTCCCTCTGCAAGCACCGCCCGGCACCGGAGACCTGGCAGTGACCTGGAAGCGGAGCCCTGGGGAGCCCCCCGCCCCCGGGCCCTGCGGTGCGCCGGGCAGAGCCTCCGCTAGCCTTAGCTGCCCCCCCAGCAGCGCCCTCAGGCCGGGCCAGCCCTCCCCGCGTCCCGGCAGCACCGCCTGGGCCGCCCCTCCCTCCGTCCCCGCCGCCCGGGGGAGGCCGGGCGAGGCCCCCCGGTGCGAGGGGGCGGTGTAGGCGCGGGGGCTGCAGCGGGGGGGCTGTGCGGAAGGGCGGGGGCCGCGGAGGGGCGCGGGGCCGGCCCGCTCTCACCATGTCGGCTGGGCGGGTGCGCGGGGCGGTAGAACGGCGGCGCCTCCCGGTCCGTCCCTGTCGCTTCGACGCCGCGGCCCGTCCGCTTCCGCCGCCGCCCGGCAGTGAACATCCGGGTCAGCGCCGCCGGCCCCGCCCCGCGCCGCTCCCCGCCAATCAGCGCGCGGCTCGCCGGCCATCGCCAAGTATGGATGCGCGGCGGCGGGGCGGGGGGGCGGGGCGGAGCGAACCACGCCACCGGCGCGGGGGGGACGGGGCGCGCGGCGGCACCAACTGCGGCGCGGGGGGGAGCGCGGCGGCCAATCAGAGCCCGGGGGCGGGCCCGGGGGCGGGGCCTGAGGGGGGCGCGCCAGCAGCGCGGGGCGGCCCTCAGTCGGGCCCGGAGCTCTGCGCGGGAACGTCGCTCCCTCAAACGCCTTTAAACGCGCTTGTTTTAACTTCAAACGAAAGGCAGGCGGGTAGCACGGCAAACGCCGCCCAGAAGAGGTAACGAGTAGCAAATTCATAACCCAAACTCGTGGGTTTTACACAGGTAAACTGCACTTTATGCATGCCTGTAAGGTGTCCACCAGGTCTAAAGTGATGGGGAAGAATAAGCAGCTTCCAGCTGCTTAAGGCCAGGGATAATTATTAATTATTTCTAAAAGGAAATTATGCATTATTTTGAAAGGAATTGTGAATTATTTTGCAAAGGAAGTGTTCAGTGTTGGCTGGGAGGTTCCTGCTGGAAGCCGTGCAGATGCTGACACATTGGAGGCCTTCAGGGCTCAGGCACTTGTGCCAGGGATAACGGGATCACAGAAAATCAGGGTATATCTACTAATAAAGCATTCCTATTGTACTCAGACTGTCTCAAAATAAAGCATTTTTTCCTTTTACTGGAGTAATTCCTATTACAGTGATTTCAGGTAAGACATCCCAATTCCAGACTCCTGGCCTGTCCTCGAAATGGGAATCTCAGAGCTACAGCAGACAATGATCCCAGGAAAACATAAGGATTCATTAAGCACCAACAGCTTCCTCTGCAGCCTTTTATGGAACAGGTCAGGCCTTGTTTCACCCCAGTTTTACTGCCAGGACCCCAAAAAACCTCCACTGGGACTCTCTGTACTGCAGACTTGGCCCTGGGGAGCAAAAAGCCCTTCCCTGGGTTCGCTGTAGGAGTTGGAAATGCCAACACGGGGTGAAAAAAGGCTTTTCCTTGGATGTCACAGACACAGCAGTCACACAGGGCTTGTCCCGTGGATGTCACAGAGCTGTCACACTGGGCTTGTCCTGTGGATGTCACAGAGCTGTCACACAGGGCTTGTCCTGTGGATGTCACAGACACAGGAGTCACACAGAGCTTGTCCCATGGATGTCACAGACACAGCAGTCACACAGGGCTTGCCCCATGGATGTCACAGACACAACAGTCACACAGGGCTTGTCCTGTGGATGTCACAGACACAACAGTCACACAGGGCTTTTCCCTTGGATGTCACAGACACAGCAGTTACACAGGGCTTGCCCCATGGATGTCACAGAGCTGTCACACAGGGCTTGTCCTGTGGATGTCACAGACACAGCAGTCACACAGGCCTTTTCCCTTGGATGTCACAGACACAGCAGTCACACAGGGCTTGTCCCATGGATGTCACAGACACAGGACTCACACAGGGCTTGTCCTGTGGATGTCACAGACAACCCCAGTTTCCAGGGGAGTGAACAGCTTGGACGTGGATCGGGTTACAATAGCCAGAGACAAGACTGCACTACATGAATTTGCACCACAATGGAGCCCATGCAGACAGAACAGCTCTCAGCTGGTGGCAGAAACAAAATGAACCCGGAAGGGTGGAAAGAAAACAGTAGAACGATGTCAGGAAAAACAGGAACTGTATTAGTCCACAGAAACACAAAACCACATAAAACTCCATCAAGAGACAGTAACCAAACAAACCCAAAGGTGGGAAATTATCCTTCCACATTTGGGAGAGAAGCCACATGGCCTCAGAAGGCTCAAGAGACTCCAAATTCAGTTCTTTGCCACTATTCCTCAGCCTAACCTCCTTCAATCTGCTTTGTCAGATGGAGCAATCCCAAATGGCTCCTATTTTGCAGTTCCCAGATCCTCCTCCATCCATGCATTCCCCCCCAGCTGCCTCCCAGCAGTAATTAAGAAAACCAAACCTGTTCATTACAAAGGCCAAATGACTCAATTTTTGTCCAGGGATCCACACATCTAATGCTCCTCGGTGCTGGAAGGCCAGAACTGATAAATTTGAAAATGTTTGTTCTAAAATTCCCTCTTTCTGTCCCAAAATCCATGCAAAGTACTCAATGACGGCTCTACTTGTAGCAGCTTTTAGTTTTGAACAGAAACAGCTCCTAGCTGCTTGCTGGAGCAGCACAGCAATAGCAGAATTAGGCAGCCCAGTATATTTCAAACAATTTGAGCTCTAAATGAATGTCGAGGCCAAGAGGATGTTTTTCTTAGCGGAAGAAATACAAGCATCCTGGATTTTGTTCTCCTGCTAATAGGTATAAAGAAGAATAAACAGCTGCTTTTTGTTTTCCCAAAAATATTTGCATTAAGAAGATCTGCAGATTCATTTTGAAATTGATGTCACATCTTTTTTCAAATGAGGACCAGCTGTTTGCTTTGCTTGTTTATAGCAGGCCATGTTTCAGGGACTTTTTGCTGTTTGTTTATTAAGATGTAGGACCAGACTGCTGCAGTTTGGTGTGGGGAGTGGATCCCAGCAGGCAGAAAGTCCATGAGTGTCCCCACCATCCCACTTCTGTTGGGATTTGTGGAGGGGTTGGCACCAAATGCAGCAAATTCAGGGATATTCCATAATCCAAGTGCTGTGAGGTAGGTTCCCTGTGCCTCAGGCATTTCCCAAACCTGCAGGCATGGATCACCCACCTACAGGAAAGAGCACTCCAAAGGGCTCGTGGCAGGAATTACCCCTCTCCAAAACAAGGATCTATAAACAAAGGAAGCAAACAATGATGTCAGTTGACATCTTAACGGCCCAACAACATCAGATTCATGTGCAATTAATAACAAGTGTTTTGATCCTGCAATCAGCAGCTCTAAAATCCATGTGCTTTCCCTGTACATTTGATTACATTCGAGGAAGCAAAAGGATAAACACTTATTAGCATTACAAAGTACTTTTCACATTCAACCAGAACTTCCTGAAGCATTTGTGATCCAGCACGATGTGGTTTTTATTTTATCCTCCTGCATGTGTGGTGAAACGCTATTTATTTGTTTATTCCAGCATTTATCCAGGACCAAGGGTGACTGTGAGAACATGCTGAGGAATAATGTCTGAGAGAAAACCTTCATGCTTCACTGAATAGTCATTTTTTGTCATAAAGAAAGAAACATCTTGATTTTTTTTTTTTTTTTTTTTTTTTTGGTCAGATTGCCCATTTTCTTTCATGGCACTTGAAAGATATGTAAACTTGTATTGGGAGTTCTCATAAATTGAATTTATTGCTGCAAGAGTCTTCCAGCAATGGTAAAGTTTAGCTTGCTGGGTTTTATTAGTCAGAGTCAGTAAAACAGCAGCATCACTTGGTTTGAGGCTGAAAACCGAGTGTTTCTTGGAAACTAATATAGGAAAAAGGTACCTACAACACTACCCAATGTCTTGGAATTCTGTGTTCAAGCCACAGATAGTTCTCACTATGGAGATCTTGGTACACAGTGTCAAAATAGCACACAAACAATAAAAAGTCCCCATCCTGAATCCAAAGCAGCTTTGCTGAGTGTATTCTTGGAATTTCAAAGTTTTTAGAGTTTCCCCATTTCCTGCATGAACTGATGAGTAACTCCAAATACCACGTTTAATGAAAAACAACATATCACCCATTTAGTGTGAGGTTTGAGGCATTCCCCTCCCTGCACTAAGAATGTTGGACAAGATTTTTTTCCACTCCAACAGCACCAAAGCAGATCTGCTCCTTTGGTTAATGGAAGGATAAACCCAGCAGCAGCCCAAGGTGCCCACACACTGCAGGACTGCTGGGAGCCCTCGTGTTCAGCACATCCCACTTAGCTGCACGTCCTAGGACACTGCTCATTCCTCTTCTTGCAGCTGCTCCTTTAACTTTGTATTTTCAGCTCAGAAAACTTGAGAGACAGAGTCCTTAGCCTGAGCAAAGAGAGTATTGAGGGCATTCTTGTCAAACTTGGTCATTAACTAGCAATAACGTCTGTGGGTTTTCATTAAAAAAGAATCAAGGAGAAGCTGATTAAATACAGCAGAAAGAAACAAAACTTTCCATTCCCTTACTTTTTCCTTGACACGTTGCACTTCATTTGAAGCCTGCTAATATACTAGCCAAAAGAATTTTAAGGGCCTGCCTGGATTCTTTCTTAATACAATGGTCACGGTTCAGTAGTTAGAATCTGTATAGAATTAGCCAGAGACATGGACAAATGGAAAAACATACTAAAAGGCTAAAAAATAGCACTTGTTCATGGGCTTATTCATTAGAAAACCTCATCAATACAGCACAAGTTTTGCTCTCTCTACTATTCTAAAAAAATTATACAAAATAGTAGACACAAAATAAAGACAAAAAATGTGAGGGCACTGCTTTTGCCTGGAATTTCAGAGTTGGCAAAAACTCAGGTCAGTGTTTCCTGATGAGAATTTTGGGGCAAACTTCATGTTCATAGCAAAAGCAGAATTAGCACAACGAGCTGTGACACATCTTGTCCCATTTCTCCAAGTTCTGCTTCCACCAGCCACACCTGGGAGCTGGAACCAGCAGCAGCACACACTGAGTGCAACCCAAGTGGCGTGGAAATCCAGCAGCAGCAGCACAGAAGGCGCCAGTGAACGTGGATGGGATCCCCATGGAAAGCCTGAGGGATGGATGCTTCACTGCAGCACAAGTCAGCTCAGCCTCAGAGGATTGCTCACCCCACAGCATCCGACTGCCATCCACAGAAAATCAATAAGGACAGCACAGGAGACTTAATGGAGTTGCTGGCACCTTTCCCATTGCAGGCAAAGTCCTGCTGAGGAGGGGTTTCTTTCTCCTCAGACTTTTTTTTTTTTTTTTGGTGGTGTTGTTTCTCAGATAGCTAAAAGGTTTTCAAAGAGAGAAAGAAGCATAAATGTCTGTTGGTGAATGTGGCTTATGTTTGGAGGAAAAATCCAACACCCCGGAGTGGAGATTGAGAGCTGGAGGTTCCCACCCAGGTCTGAGCTCTCTGTAACATGAAAGAATTGTTCTGGAAGTACAGGAAACAGGGAGTGGGGGCCCACACTGAGGCTGTGTCAACCATTACAAGCAGATAACTCCCACACTGTTGCCTTCCTGTGCAGATCTTGGCAGAAAAATAAATAAAAAATATATGTGTGGGAGGTGATTCATGTTTTTTAAATCTATGGGAGAAGCTGCATGTGTATTCTTCAGAAAAGAGGAGAGCAAGAGTGTATTGGCATCCAGTGGGGAAATGACACACAGAATGCTTTAGGATTCTTTGAAAAAATAGGATAAGAGGTGATATTCTCATGCTGGGGAAGGTTCAAGATTTAAAGGAAATTTGCTGGGAAGTTTTGAAACAAAAACTCATCCTGCTCTATGGACAAGCCAGAAGTAACAGTTGAAAGGAAGTCTGCTCTGTTGAAAAGGGTTTGAATTCCAGCTGGTGCAGTTCCAGAGGAGCTCCTCACCTCCAAGTGCAGCTTATGGAACCTTAGAACCCTTCTGGTTGGAAAAGCTCTCCCAGACCACTGAGTCAAGCTGTGACCAGTCCCCACCTTGTCCCAGCCCAGAGCACTGAGTGCCACACCCAGCCCTTCCTTGGACACCTCCAGGGATGGGCACTCCAAACCTCCCTGGGCAGTTCCAAGGCCTGACCCCCTTTCCATGGGGAAATTCCTGCTGGTGCCCACCCTGAGCCTGCCCTGGCTCAGCCTGAGGCTGTTCCCTCTGCTCCTGTCCCTGTTCCCTGGAGCAGAGCCTGACCCCCCGTCTGTCCCCTCCTGTCAGGAGCTGTGCAGAGCCACAAGGTCCCCCCTGAGCCTCCTTTGCTCCAGGCTCAGCCCCTTCCCAGCTCCCTCAGCCTCTCTTGGTGCTCCAGCCCCTTCCCCAACTCCATTCCCGTCCCTGGACACGCTCCAGCCCCTCCAGGTCCTTCCTGTGGTGAGGGCCCAGAATGGACACAGCACTGGACATGCCCTCTGCACGGATCATCCACTGCACCAGGGAAGCAGCAATTTTGAAGAATAATAAAAGTACTTATTAATCTGAGATCCCCAGTCCTGCCTCTGCCTTATCTGATGGCCTTCTGCTGACAGCCCAACCTGTTAGTGTCTAACTCCTAGTGAGCAGTACTTAATTCCACACACAACTCAGTCAGGTACATTGTTAACAAAACTGGGGATACAAGGTCTGAACCTACTTCAACGAGAAGGTGACTTCCACCAGAGAAGTACAGGCTCATTTTGAAGCTTTCTGGCTTCATTTCCTCCATTTATTCATACACTTATTTACTGGAAAGAAAGGAGAGGAGAGCACAAGGGAGGGAAGGAATCCTGGGACAGCACATACTGGGCTGTAAAATGCAAAAAAGGTTTTTCAAAACCGCATGTTCCAAACATCACCTTGGAGTCCCACAATAATAAATACTTGATATTACACTGTGAGGGTCCAACTGCCAAGTAACTATAGCAATGAAAAGAAAAGCCTGTCCTTGGATGCATTCCCTCCTGCCTTAATTTTTCCCTGGGGTGGGGAGGGGGTACAGAGAATGTGCTCTAGATCCTTAATGGATAACATTTTCCAGAGCCCCCTCTGATCACTCAGTGACTCTGGGATTTAAAAGCAGCAGAGTGATTTCTCCAAGGGAAGCTGAACATTCAAATCAATTACCCTGAACTATTCCATCCCCCTGGAAAAGGTTTAATGCACCAGGTCCTGAGGTGAGGCTGTCAGGATTCATTGAGACGCAGCAACACAACTCTTTATGAAGTGCCTCACAATCCAGCTGCTCACCAGGGCTTCCTTCAGCCCAAAAATCAGTGTTTTCCAGGGAACCCAGCAGCCTGAAAATGAGTAAGTGTGAAGTGAGACTACACTGGTCTGCACTGAGCATTTGCTTTTGCCAAAGAAGACCAGATTTCTGGTTTGGTTTTAAACACTGCCTTCTGGAATTTAATTTTTGGGATGAAAATTAAAGAATTATTTTGGAGGCTTCAAGTTATCTTTCCCCTCATGATATTTTCCAGAGCTCTTTGGAAACAGGAGGGTGGAGCTGGCACCGCTGGGGCAGCGGTTCCAGAAAGCACTTCTGTAGCTATTTGGGGAAAAAACTGCTGGATCATGTTGGTATTTTTATAAGTAACTTGATGTGTAGTTCTATTTTGGATACCAACTATGCAGCAATGCAGCCTGATTGGAGCAAATTGCAGGGGGAGGAAGAGAAAAGGAAGATCCCCTTACAGAACAAGGGCTGCCTTCTCCAGGGAAACCTCTTGAACCTCCAGGGGCTCAGTTTAAACACGTGCCTTTTAAGATAAGATTTTAAAGGCCATTTCGATTTTATAAGGAAGAGAAAATAATGGTTAATTGTGATTGTTCTGTGATATGTGAAGGAATTGAACCAAACCAATTAAAAGTAAAACCTTTCCATTGTGACTCTAGATCAAAACCAGTGGTACTTTTAAGATAAATTAAAGAATTATTTCTGTAATTATTCCTGTACCAACAATAACTTCATGAAATTTTTGCCAACTTCAAGAATTGTTCACTTCTGTTTGTGGCTTTAGTCTGTAATTGACTTGCAAAAGAACTTCCAGTTTTATGAAGCAGCAGAGCCTCCTCCACCTCGATAAAGAAAATTGCCAGAACTTGAAGAAATCAAAACAAATAATCAAGCTAAAAATTGCCTCCCAGTGTGAATGGGGACATTAGCACTTGACAAACACCCTGGAGTTTTTTTCACAAGGCTTCTAGAGAATGCCTTAGGCAGCCTACACACCATTTGCAAGTCAAACATTCGTTCTAGTAGGTTTGAGACATTCAGAGTTACTGCTGGCTCCTCAAAACTGTAGCAGGCTGCAGGATGGGCAGTGGGAACCCTTCCCACAGCCTGTTCCTCCAAAATTAGGAAATATTTACGTATAATACCAGGGTGAAATTCTTCCCTGTGAGGTGGGGAGGCTCTGGCACAGGCTGCCCAGAGCAGCTGGGGCTGCCCCTGGATCCCTGGAATTGTCCAAGGCCAGACTGGACAGTGGAAGGTGTCCCTGTCCCTGCCATGGCAGGGGTGGGGTGGGACTGAATGAACTTTAATATTCCTCCCAACCTAAACCATCCTGCAATTCTGTGATTCTCATTATCAACCTACCACGTGGAATAACTTCTTGAATGTGACTGAATGATCTTGCTGAGATTATTTGGCTCCTTATCTCAAATAAACAAGAATGTGGGGGGCCCAGATTGGTGTCAATCCCTATCAATATCCCAGGAATTACCTCATTTTACCTTTTAAAATTAGGTAATTCCTGGGATATTGATAGGGATTGACACCAGCGGTCACACACCTGTATCTCATTTCAGGCCCTGAAGAACAGCCGAGGCCAGAGAGTAAAAATCACAGAATTATTAGGGTTGGAGGGGATTTCTGGAGATCATTCCTTTCAACCTCCCTGCCAAGGCAGGCACACCTGAAGCAGGTGACACAGGAAGGCCCAGCGAGAGAGATTCCACAGCCTCCCTGGGCACCTGTTCCAGAGCTGTGCCACCCTCACGGAGCGTTCTTCCTCCTGCTGAGGCGATGCAGGAGCTGTGCAGGATGTAAGACAGGGCAAACCTACACGGGAGCGTGTCCAGTGCTGTACCCAACGCTGCAGTGAGAAACTCGGCCCTGCAGCACAGCCCGGCTCTTACCATGGATGAGGGGAGAGCGCTGCGGGCAGGGGGGCGGCGGGCGCGGGCCCAGCCCGGGCGCCTGCGAGGAGGCAGGGATGCTGCCATAGCCTGAGGGAGACGAGGACTAACAAGGACACAGCGGGAGCTCTAGGCGGAGAGATGGAGTCCGGGATGGGCTGGGAACGTGGTGTGCCCGGTCTTACGGGGGAAAAAGGAGTTTGGGCCGGATCCTACGGGGAAAAAGGGGATTTTGGGCCCAGCCCAAGGTCGGGCGCGGCGGCCATGACACCCGTCCGTCGGTTACCGTGGCAACGACAGCGGAATCTCGCGAGATCTGCCGGCGCGGGTGATAGGTGGAGCAGCAGATCTCGCGAGAGTTGCTCGGGGGAGGAGGTGAGGGGACGGGCAAGATGGCGTCGGAGGGCGACCTGGGCAGGAAGTGGGACCGGTGTGTGGCAGACTCCGCCGTCAAGCTGGGTAAGGGCGGCACGGACACGGCGGAGCGGGAGGGCCCGGGGAAGAGCGGTGGTGGTGCCCCCGGGCTCCCCGAACCTGGGGGAGCGGCCGCCGGCGTGTCCCCGCGGCGAGGGGCCCACTGTCCCCCGCCGCCCCAGGTTCGCCTTAGAGCGGTTGTGAACCCGGGAGGGGCTCAGGGTGTCCGGAGGAGACGCCCTCATCGCTGCCCCCGGCGTCGGGGAGAGCCGGCGGCCCCGGGCCTGGCAAGGTGACCTTGGCCGCGGGCTCGGACCCCTGCCGGGCCCGCTCTCGGTTCTGCGCCCCGGCCCGGCCCCGGCTTACCGCGCTCCGGGCGTGTTTGACCTCTGGCTACTCCCTGTGCTGAAGGTAAGAGGTTTCCGTGGGAAATCTGGGCTCCGCAGGGAGTCTGGGCGGCCTCCCGGCCGGAATGAATGAGCGGCGGGCAGGCAGGACCGGCTCCTGGCGTGGCGCGACCTCGGCCGCCTTCGCTTGGCTGCGGCGGGGCTTTGGAGCGGTCTGTGCAGAGCTGCTCACCGCTCCGCGTGCGAGGGGCTGCGTTTATTAAAAGCAAAGGCAGCGTGACACGCTGAGGGCTTTGGCACGTGTCACTCGGTACAGCGTGTGGAGTGTGACATTGAGAAGCGCCGTCCGTGTCCCAGCCCTGTAGTTCTGCGTTTTCGTCGAGCAGGGGAACAATTCTGTTGGGTTTTTTTGCTGTATTTATTTCCTTAAGGTGAGGGTTATGAACATGCCTCAGGTTTTTTGTAGCAAACATTGACGAGGTTTCACGGAGTGCTGTGAGTTTTAGGGGTGGTGGTGGCTGTGATGGCAGCACCACGCTCACCCTGTGACGGGCTGCAAAGTGAAGCCAGGCAGAGCTTGTGGCTTCACAAAATGTGTTTACAAACCCAGGTTTTCAAATACAATGTGTAAAGCAAGAAATGCAGTGTCCGACACAGACGATATTAGTTCCATGTTGGTGCAGATGTCTCTTTTAGAACCATAAATAATGTCTGGGAAATGTGAATGTTTATTTCTTGTAGCTGCAGTGGCCTTGTGCTTGAAAGCTGATGAGGAACTTGGGGGTTTTAGTTGCCTAATACTTTTCCATTAGAAAAGATGTTTAATAATTTTAAGTAAACTGAAACTTCCATTGTTTATAACAGACCTTTGAAAAGTGTCAAGTGCTCCAGAGCAGTGTTTTTCCTTATGAAATTCTACTCAGGTTTGTCTGACAAACATATCTGGACATGTTTATGTTTCCATAGCATTGGTTGCTTTATCATAAAATATTAAGTATGCCAAATTATAAACAAGAACTTGTTCCACACTGCAGCTGTACATGTCAGAATCCTGTGCATCCTCTGCCCTGGAGGCTGAAGGAAATGGATACCGGATTGATTTCACAGAATCTGAGGCTGATTTGTGCTGGAAGGGACCTTACAACTCTCGTCCCACCCCATGCCATGAGCAGGGACACTTTCCACTATCCCAGGCTGCTCCAAGCCCCAATGTCCAGCCTGGCCTTGGACAGTGCCAGGGATCCAGGGGCAGACACAGCTGCTCTGGGCAACCTGTGCCAGGGCCTGCCCACCCTCACAGGGAAGAATTTTTTCACATTATCCATTATCCCAATGCCTCTGTCATTGGGAAGCCACTTCCCCTTGCCTTGTCTCTCCAGGCCCTTGCAAACAGTTTCTTTCCCTCTCTCCTGTCAGCTCCCTTCAGGTACTGGAAGGCTGCAATGAGGTCACCCCAAAACCTTCTTTTTTCCAGGCTGAACAATCCCAATTGTCTCTCTTTCCTCCCAGCAGACCTGCTCCATCCCTCTGATCTTCCTGGTGCCTCCTCTGGACTCTCTCCAGCAGCTCCAGGTCCTTCCAGGGCTGGGGCAGCTCTGCAGGTGAGGTCTCACCTGAGCGGGGCAGAGGGGCAGAGTCCCCCCTTTGCTGCTGAGGGATCAGCCTGGGACACAGGGAGTTCTGCCTGGGTCGTGTCCAGCTCTCACTCACAGCACCTGCAGCTCCTTCTCCCTGGGGCTGCTCCTGAGCTCTTCATCCCTCAGCCTGGATTGATCCTGACCCACGTGCAGCACCTGCTCTTGTTAAAGCTCCTGAGATTCCCGTGGGCCACTCCTGGAGCTTGCCCAGGCCCCTCTGGGCAGCCCTGTCCTTCAGGTGTGTGCACTGAGCTTGGTGCCTGGCACTGCCCTCCTGGCTCTGCTCTGGGCCTTGCCTTTGGATTCGGTGTTCTTCCATCCTGCAGTGGCACAGGAGAGTGAGACCCTGCTGTGCCTCGTGCACTGCTGCTCTGTCCGAGGATCCCCAGTGTTGGCTTCACGAGGGTGCTGAGGAGAGATCTCAGTCAGATTCGTGCTTTTCACCAGACTGCCCAAAAAGGTCATGTGTGCTGCATCTCTTTACCTTCACACCAAACCCAGTGGGGTGGGCTCAGACACGTTTCTCTTCATGTGAGGGCACTTTCCTGGTTTGTGTGCTTTTACAGTTGATCAGTAGCTGAGGCATTTGTGCTGGCAACCTCCTGCATACATTGTGTGCTGACAACACACATTTTTCCGTGCTATCCCAGTGGGAATGATTGTTTTCTCTGCAGGGACATTAAAACTGTGAGTGGTTGGGTTGATTGGTTTTGTAATATTACTGCAAAGTTTGCTGGAATTTCCAATATAAATTATCAAGGGTGGTTGTTGTACTGGAAAGAAAGAAGGAAAGATTTTTTTTTTTTTTTTACTTGAGGGTTTAGTTGTTACATGGGATACAGGATTTGGTAAACATCTTTTTTTTTTTGCCCAACTTTTCCGTTTGGTCTCCAAAATGTCCTTCCCAAACACTCCTTTACATCCTTCCCTCCCTACAGGCAGGGAGTTCTTCCCAGCCAATGGCTGGGGAAAAACAAACATTGTGATTAGCCCAGTGTTTTCCCATTACAGACTCCCTAAATAAAGGAAAGCACCGAATTTCTGGAGCTGTGCATGCATGACATTTCCCAGTGTCTGTGAGAGCTGTGGACAGATAACTCCTGTGGATTAGTTTGAGGGTAGGGGGGACATGGGAAGCAGAAAAGGGGGAGAAGAGTGGGTAGAGCTCTGAGGCTGGCTTTATTAGCCAAAATGTGGTTTAAATTCCAGCTGGGGCTGTGCTGCCTGTCCTTAGCCCATCAGGATTCCCTGTGGAAGTCGAGGTTTGTCCTTAGCTCTGTTTGTAGTTGTGCAATACTGTTTTAGTTGGAGACCAGGCTCCTGAGAAAACTTGATCTCCTGCCACTAAAACTTCCAAAATAAATATTTATCTTGTGTTGCATCTTTTGAAATGCTGTATTATGGTTTTGAGTTCTTGGTCGCTACCTGTGTGGATCTTGTAATTTAGTATTAATTTTTTCCTGTTAGTTCCAAACAGAGGATGTTGTCAGGCGTTGTTAGGACAGGATTTCATTTCAAAGAGTAGGTAAACCTTTTTATGCCTGCTCAGAACATTGAGCCATTGTTAAACGGAGCTTGTGGTCCCCTCGTTTTTATTAGGATGATATTTATTTGATTTGCTAATGATGAGGCTGTACCCATCTGGTTTTGTTCCTCTTCCATTCCAGATGTAGTTGAGAGCACAGTGTTTGTGTGCAGAGGACTGGCTTGTGCTTTCTTAGCTGACCAGGGGGTTTCTGACAGACAGTCCAGGTCCTGCTAGCTCTGGCTTTGCACTGTCCTCAGGGTTTTTCACCCAGGCAGTCATTTAAATAATTTAACTTTCTGTCCCTTTTTTCATTCTGATACTGGTTTTCAAGCAGAAAAGCTACTTGTTACTTTCTTACAGAAAACCTGTTTGTTTGGGGGGTGGGAACAGAGACTTGAACTTTTCATCTCCTTCCCAGCTTGCAGACCTTCCTCAGTTCCTGTCTCCTCTCCTGCCTTCACAGCCATTTCTTTCTTTTCATCAGTAGAGCTCTGCAGAGGAGGTCTGATGAAGTAAACACTGCTGTGGTCTTCCTCCATCCTGCAGCCTCCAAACCCTGTTCAAAGGCTTGGTTTGTTTGTTTAACTGATTGATAGTTCATGGCTGTTTGTTTGGAAAGACAATTACAAGAGATTGACAGAGGTGTTTTTTTTTGTTGAAAGGCTGTAATTTTGGACAAATTATTATTATTATGTGCTGTTTCCAGGGGACAGAGAGGCAATAAAGAGTAGTGTGGAAGAGAGGGAGGTTTATGTGCCCACATGCCTTGGTTTGTTTTGAAGCTGTTGTTGTTTTAAATGGGTTGAATTCAGTAATTTTCCTGATACTGGAAGATAATCCTAGGGAAGCTGTTTGCTTCTTGGCTTATGTGTGTGAAGTTGCTGTGTTGAAGTTAAATTTTTTTCAGGAGAGAAATGTTTTGATGTATGTCTGTGATTGACCAAAATTCAGCCTGGAAGCTTGTAAATAACCCAGTGTAGTGATTTCATTTTCCTCTAATCCTCTGTTTTGACATCTGGAAATAAAATGCTTCTAATTCCCATTTAATAGGGTGTTTTTTTAAAGAGAAAAGGGCACTTTGAATTCTGCAACTGTTAACATGATTTCTTCTGCCTTTCATCATCTGGCCTGCTTGAATTAGCTGTTCTGTTAATGGCAAGGATGAAATTGTATTGTTTGTGTCATTCCACAGATTGGATATTTCAGAAAGAATCATTGTATGGATTGCAATGTCAGTATTTTTAAATAATCCTTCACGTGGTTATGAATAGGATAAAGTCAGTCTATATAATGATAAA